ACATGGTTATAAACATCATTCTTGATATGGTTAAACATTCAACAGATTTTTAAATCTGAACTCAAATGTTTAACACGATTTTTATATCTGGACCAAACCTGTTTTTATAAAAACAGATATAAATTAGCAAGATAGATATAAAAAACAGTTGGACCAAAAAAAACATGTTCAGATTTATGTTTTTTTTGGTCCAAACATAAATCTGAACTCAAATGTTTGTCCAAACGATGTTTATTCCCCTGTTTAATCTGTTATACTTCAGGTCCAAACATAAATCTGTTAATCAATTTTGGTCCAAACATTGGTTTATACTTCAGGTCTATTATTCAACTGTTATTAATTTTGGTTTATACTTTAGTTTTGGTCCAAACATTGGTTTATACTTGAAGTCCATAATTCAGCTGTTATACTTCAATTTTGGTTTATACTTCAAGTCCATTATTGAAAGTTTAATCTGTTATTAATTTTTGAAAATAATCTGTTATTAATTCTTGAATTTACTTTTTGAATGAGCAGAAATGGAGATTGATTCAAATACTGTTGAGAATCCTTTATTAAATGAGAGTGAAGAAGTTGAGGAACCTAAGAGGGGTATGTGTTTCACCTCAAAGCAAGAAGCGTACACATTTTATGCCAAATATGCTAAACATGTTGGGTTTTCTATAGCTTGTAAAACACAAGTTATCGGCGATGATGGGGAATTAAGATACTTTGGGATTGAATGTTCTCGATCGGGGAAGAGAATTAAAAAATCAGAAGTAAACCCTTTAAAGCCATCTTTGTCCACAAAAATTGATTGCAAAGCAAGGGTACGAGCAAGCCTACAAAAGGATGGGAGATTTATGTTAACCACAGTTAACCTTGAACATAATCATGACTTGATCCCCACCGACTCACGCCATTTTCTAATGAATAAGAAAATCCTTAGTCCTGTGAAGAGAAGATTAGAAATTAATGATCAAGCAGGGATTGGGGTGTCTAGGAATTATAACTCAATGGTTGTTGAAGCTGGGGGTTATGAGTCTTTAACATTTGATGAGCGAGATGCAAGGAATTACATTGAGAGAGCTAGAAAATTGAGGCTTGGAGAAGGAGATTCCGATGCACTTCAAAAGTATTTTTTGAGAATGCACGCACAAAATTCGAGTTTCTATTATATGATTGATGTTGATATTGACTTTCGCATAAGAAACTTGTTTTGGGCGGATGCAATGAGTCGGGCGGCTTATGAAGAATTTGGAGATGTTGTTTCATTTGACACAACTTACCTCACTAATAAATATGATATTCCATTTGCTCCGTTTGTAAGAGTTAACCACCATGGACAGTCGATTTTGCTTGGTTGTGGTCTATTATCTAGTGAAGACACTGATACATTTGTTTGGCTATTCAAATCATGGTTAAATTGCATGTCAGATCATCCTCCAAAAGCTATAATAACGGATCAGTGCAAAGCTATGCAAAAGGCTATAGAAATAGTCTTCCCCAATACTCGACATCGATGGTGTTTATGGCATATCATGAAGAAGATTCCAGAGAAGTTGAAAGGGTATTCCCAATATGAATCCATGAAGATGGATTTGCAAAATGCAGTCTATGACACTTTCACAAAAGATGAATTTGAGATGAAATGGAAAGAGATGATTGCAAAATTCAATCTTGATGAGAATCAGTGGTTGGGGGTGTTATATGATGAGCGACATCGATGGGTTCCTGTCTATATCAAAGATATTTTTTGGGCTGGCATGTCAACGACACAACGAAGTGAGAGCATGAATGCCTTTTTTGATGGATATGTCAACCCAAAGACTACATTAAAACATTTGTTGAACAATATGACAATGCCTTGAGAAGTAAGGTAGAGAAAGAGAAAAAAGCTGACTTCAAGTCTCGGCACAAAGTCTTTGATTGCCTAACTGTGTATGGTTTTGAGAAACAATTTCAAGACGCGTACACCAATGCAAAATTCAAAGAAGTTCAAGCTGAGATGAAGAGGCTAGTTTATTGTCAATCGTTTCTTGTCAAAGAAGAGGGTTCAATTTGTACATATTTTGTGAAGGAAGCCGTGGTAGTTTTTGGGAAGATGAAACATGTGGACTTTGTTGTCTATTCTAATTCGACAGAATTTGATGTGCAATGTATGTGCCGGTTGTTTGAATTTAGGGGCATCATGTGTGCTCACTCACTCGTTGTGCTCATTGCAAGATGCATAAATGAGGTTCCAAATAAATACATTCTACCACGATGGAGAAAAAATTTGGATAGAGGGTACACATGCATAAAAACCACATACACTGGCTTTGGGGATGATTTCAATGCAAAGGTGTATGATAAGATGAATAGAAAATTAATTGGCATTATACAATTTGCTGGAAACTCTGAAGGGAAAATAAAACTTATTGACTGTGGGTTGGATGAAATTAAGGCGAAAGTGATGAAAGATGATGAAGGTGGTGGAAGTAATGTAGCACCTTCGACTAGTAATGTACCACCTATTACTAGTAATGTCTCATCTTCCCCGATTGGCAGCATTAATAGAAAGGCAATCAGTCATACCAAGTTGCTTAGTCCTTTGGTTGCTCGCCGAAAAGGTCGTCCAGTTACTAAAAGAAAGGTCGCCAAAGTAGATCAAATAGTCAATCGGTTAAAGGCAAGCAAAAGAAAACATAACAAATCAAAGGTAAATTGATTGTTTTCATACATATCCATCCGTTTTGTATCATTACTCTCTATTCAACTCATATTTTATTGTAATCATGTCATACATTTGAGCCATTCATTAACCTTTTCCAATATAGGGTACTAAGGTGATTGGAGGTGAAGGTGAAGGTCAATGTCAATCTCAACCTGAATGTAGTGCACGTAGAGAGCTTTATCCTTATATGGTTGGCATGGAAAATAGTATGTGTGTACCGGTACGTGTACATCGAGCAAACTATTTTTCAATAATGTTTAGCAAACTGGTTTTAACATTTCATTTTAATTGAATAGGGACACATGGTCAATGCTATTGGAGGCACATCTCTCACCCCGGCAAGTGTGGACATTATGAGAGGACAAAGTTTCATGAATGCCCCAACTCAAATTTATGGAGTTGGCACATCTCCGACCCCGTCAGACTGTATTGGAGGCACACCGGGATTTATGACAACTCAACAATCCATGATTGCTACGCATCAAATTTATGGAGCCGTACCGTCTTCATTTGTTGACTTGAATGTACAAATGGACCGCAATGACCATGGTGGTAGTTTTCGTTAGTTGGAAAGTTGTAATTGTAATGCCTTTTATGTGACTAAACTTGGAGTTTATTTTGTTTTGAATAGTTTATTTAATGTATTTTTGGTTTGAAATCGAAATTGATGTTGTTCCCTACTTTGTTGTTATAGTTAATGTTCCCAATTGATGCTATATTTGTGCTTTGTTTGTTACAGATTTAATGTGTTCCAAAATCTGTGTTCGAAAAATCTGTCCCATAAATGTGTTCCAAATCTGTGTGAAAAATCTGTTACAAATCTGTTCTAAAATTATGTCTGCAAATCTGTCTTCAAAAACCTGTGTGGTAAAATCTATCTTCAAAAATGTGTGGAAAAAACCTGTCTTCGAATCAGTCTTGAAAAATCAGTGTGAAAAAAATGTCTTCAAAACTGTGTGAAAAACCAGTGTTCAAAAAAGCTGTCTTGAAAAACCTGAGTGGAAAAATCTGTCTTCAAAACTGTGTGAAAAAAACCTGTCTTTGAATCTGTCTTGAAAAACCTGTGTGAGAAAAAAATGTCTTTAAAATTGTGTCAAAAACCAGTGTTCAAATCTATGTTGAAAATCTGTCTTCAAACCAGTGTTCAAACTGTGTCAAAAACCAGTGTGCAAATCTGTGAAGCACCTGTGTTCAAATAGACAAATACATCTTCATACATAATGTGTTCAAAAATAGACAAACAGTCCAAAATCTGTCCACAATCAGTCCAAAATCTGTCCAAAATATGTGTTCAAACACATAAACAAATAACTTTTCATAATAATCATTCCAAAATCTGCCCAAAATCTGTCAAAAATCTGTCAAAAATATGTCCAAAATGTGTTCAAACACACAAACAAATAACTTTCCAAAATATGTCCAAAATCTGTCCAAAATCAGCAGAAAATGTGTCCAAAAGCAGTCCAAAATCAGCACAAAATCTGTCCAAAATGTGTCCAAAATCAGCACAAAATGTGTCCAAAAGCTGTCCAAAATCAGCACAAAATGTGTCCAAAATCTGTCAAAAATCAGCACAAAATCAGACCAAAATCAACCCAAAATCTGTCCAAAATGTGTCCAAAATCAGCAGAAAATGTGTCCAAAAGCAATCCAAAATCTGTCCAAAATCAGCACAAAATTTGTCCAAAATCAATCCAAAATCAACCCAAAATCTGTCCAAAAAGTGTCCAAAATCAGCACAAAAAGTGTCCAAAATCAGTCCAAAATCAACCCAAAATCAGTCCAAAATCTGTTCATAATATGTGTTCAAACAGACAAACAAATAACTTCCAAAGTTCCAATCAGATAACAAACAATCGACATGATTACATATTCATACTTCTCAATCCATAATTGCAATATATCATAAATCTTCATACATATCATCTTCATAATTAATACAACACCAATTACATGTTCTAACTTCTATAAAAATTATTACATCTTCATAATTAATGTAACACCAATTACAAGTAAGATGAAGATCCCATTAATAGAACACGAATTTCTATTTATGCCTCTTTGCAAGTTTTGCATCTGTGCGCTTTGAAATCGAAGATGTTCGCTTTGAAATCGAAGATGTTCGCCCATACTTTGAAGTTGTTTGGTGACAGTTGGTGCATTGTCCATTCGCACTTGCCCTTCCTCCCTACGTTGTGAATTTGTAGACAAGCACCATCCAATAAACCCACTGCAATCTAGACAACAATAAAAAAGCTTGTTCTTGTTTCATTCCGTCTCCGAAATTAGAATAATTTCTTTTTTCCGACATTGAAGACAATTTCTGTTGCAAAATGTCAATTGATCTGATGTACTGGCGTTAACACTTGAAGTTGACATCTGCAAAAATCTGAATCAAAATCTCAATCAGTTAGTGTATTAGTGTTAGGACTGTTTAACTTGCTAGAAACAAAGGTGGTTCCTTGAAGGCTAGGGGTGGCCACTGTTTGGGCCATAGGTTATGGCCAATCAGCATGATTATAACATCATGCTGGGCATGCACTTTTAAATGCAATTGGTCTTGTGTGTAGTGGTTGTGAGATGAGCTATTGGATGTTGGAATTTATTGCTGTAAGTTGGAATTTATTCCAGAACTTGTGAAAAATTTTAAATCATGTAAATAATTCAATCAACACAATCATGTTTATGCTACAAATTCTTAAGTTTAGTGTCTTCTATTCTTGCTGTTCTCATACTTTTTTAATAATTAAAATTTTATTAGAACGGTTTAGTAGTTTTTTCATAACTGGTATACTTAACTATACTATTAAAAAGTGGACAACTTAAGTGCATTCAAAGCTATGGCCTTGATATGTCATATGTGATATCAGTTATTAGTTGAAGTGTTAGTTCACCCAAAGAAATCAGAGTACTGACCTCTACAAGGGCCACATTCTATATATTCTTGGTGAAATCTAGAATATGAACCAAACCCTGATTGGCTTGTTTTGGTTCTGTTCATCAATGCTTCTGTTTTGCTCCCAGTTCAAAGTTTTAGACTTCAAAAAAAAAAGAAGACTGTTTGGCTATGTATTGCAGGGTCAGCTTACTCGAGGCCCCAAACCAAACTGAATATACATATACACACACATATATCTTACTCAAGTAAATAAGATAAAATCTATACTGAAGTAAGGCTAAACCTTCTAATAGATTAATAGGATTTTAAGTTAATGGTTAAGTGTACATGTGCCTAATAATGTTGACTATTGACTCCAGTAGTTTATAGGTTGGCATGTCCCTCTGGTTTGTACATTAAAGACTTGTTTAAGGCATAGCATCTTGCCAAAATAAAAAAATAAAAAATTAAATACTAAAAGCTCAAAACAATTAACAATACAGGGCTTGTATTATTATTTTCTGTTTACTAGTTATGCATGATAATTCCTTCACCCCTTTTATAAAAAGAGAAAAAACCATTATTGTAATATTACTATTTCCAAGAACCTTATTCTTCACCCACACATATTTTTAATTAATATATATGATAAAGAATAAAACAAACACTTGGCTCATGCTTGCTGAATAAATTTGGGTGGAATTGGATTTATAATCCATGAGATTCATCAATTTGGTGTTTAGTTTATATACTTTTTTAATAATTAAAATTTTATTAGAACGGTTTAGTAGTTTTTTCATAACTGGTGTACTTAACTATACTATTAAAAAGTGAATAATTGGTTAATGTACATAATACTAGTACTCGTTTGGACTTTCAATTCACTTGTTTCATTGATCTGAATTTTCTTTTTTAAAACTTACACTAAATTGTTAATTCTCCTTCAAAATTAGAAAATTAATGTAAAAGGACTCATATGTTTATATTAGGTAAGGTTCAACTGTCCAATGCGGAAAGAAAAATAGCATGCAGCTGATATGTTCCCAAATGGGAACTCAGAAAATGGGGAACTTAAGTGCATTCAAAGTTGTGGCCTTGGTACATATACAGACACATATATCTTACTCAAGTAAAGAAGGTACAATCTATACAGAAGTAAGAGCTTCTTTAAAATATGTGGAACAGAATCCAACCAAGTCCAAAAAAAGACTTGAAGAGGATAGCAGCATTGTTGTCTTGCATCATTCATGACAAATAGTCTTTATTCCTCAATTCAATAGGCTTGGATAGGCACTATGCAAGTCTTCTACAATTGGCCCAACTAAGCTGTGTCTAGCTTTAGTAACTGTTCTAATTATGGCATTCTAAATATTAACTAGTAGAAAATAGTAAAACCAATCATCGAACCAAGCCAACTTGGTTCTCTCTATAATCTCTCCTCTTTGTCTCCTTCACTTCCACTCTTCCTCAGCTACTACACACAATGAATAGTCAGTGATCTTGCATTTCCAGCAATCACAAATCACAAATATAATATAATTTTGTAGTTATTGTTTATTGAATTATATATGTTTGGCTAAGCATGATTAGAAATTTACAACTACACAGATGCTCTATAGAATCTTGTTTTCTTTGGGACATTTGACTTGTTTGTTATAATTTTCATCATAATCATATTCCTTCATTTTGTAAGGAATCAAAGACTTTAGAAACTTATTAAAATGGTTACCTAAACATAGGTATGTGTTCAAGATTTTTTTTTTAACAGTTTGGCAAATGGGTTTTCTTTATTTTCTCTGTTTTTTAGAACAAAAATCAGTTTTCAATAACAATACCCAAGTTGACGGTGTTTGGCAGACTTTTAAAAACAATTTTTTCGTCTCAGAGTTGCGAATTAACAACAAAAATGCACGCTTAGTTTAGTCACCATAGAATGATAGATTGGGTATGGATCTAGCTTTGACATTATTGCACCAAGTCCCTTTGATTCTAACCCACTACTTCAAGATTGGTAAACAAGAGTTTGGCTCATTCTAAGAACTGTTTACAAAATTGAATTTAAAAATAACAAGTACGAAAGACGACAATTTAAAAGTAAAATTAAGGAGCATGGTTTTTGTTGGAAATTTGAACTCCTGAACATAGGTGGAAGAAAACACAAAGTCCAAAAAAAAACGGTTGACAATAAAGGGGCACCGTAGGTGGAAGAAGAGGCCTTAAGCAGATGCAAGAGACTCAATATAGTGTTTTTTTTTTGGATCAAGTTTAATTACTGAAAGTTGTGTAATGTGTTTGTTATGGAGAATTGTGATTGAAAAAAAAATGATTTGAAAACTAAAATTTTATAGAGAAAAAAACCCACTAAAATGATGATGTAAAAACTTGATTTTATACAAAATTTTCATATTAATATTTTTGACAAGAATGATATGTTATTATGATAATAGCATTTTCAAAACTACACAGCATAATGATTTTGTTTTTGTTCTAAAGCAATAGAATCAAATTTTCAATATTTTTTTGCACTTTAAAACTACAATGATCATGGTTTTGTCCTAAAATGAAAGCTCCATACAAAAACACATTGTTTTGCGTGAAAGTTCTACTTATATAGTATTATCTTTTGAAATAATAAGAAATTTTGATAGGCTTTTTAATTTAAAATGGATGAATACAAATTTAACACCATATCATTTTGTATAATTTTTGTGTTTTTAATTTATACATCATTACTATAAAAAAAATACATGCATAACAATTGATCACAAAATTAATCAAGGTCCTATGACATAATGTGAAACTCACCCTTTTTAAATATTATATGATTAAATTGTGTGAGTTGATTTTGATTAGGTTTTTGTTTGATGAGTATTGTAGGAAGTGGAGGTTGTGGCTGTTCATAAATCACTAAATCAGTTTTCAATTCAAACAACCATGATCATAATAATATCCAAAAAAAAAAAACAATATTGAGTCACTGTTCTTTTTCATTGAAGCATTCAAGAAAAATTAAAATTAAAGTTAACATTATTTTTTTTTTCTGTACAAAATCACTTCAAAACCAGTCCAAAATCTGTCCAAAATCAAAATCAAATTCGTCCTAAACAGATGAAATCAAAGTGAACGACACAAATCAGGGCATATAGATATAGATATATACATAGATATAAATCAGGGCATGAACTCAAACTCAAAAATCTCAACAAATCAGGGCGTATAGATATAGATATATATATATATATAGAGAGAGAGAGAGAGAGAGAGAGCTTACCTATGCAAACAGATCTGTGAAGACGGAGAGAGACTCGGTCGTCGTGCGTGACTCGCTCGTCATTCTCTGGTCGGGTCGCCGGGGTTGTAGAAGCTGCGTTCAACCTCGATCGTCACCGGGGTTGGAGAGCTACGCTCGTCGTCTCGCCGCTGATGGAGAGCTACGCTCGTCGGGAGCTCGTCGACAGAGAGGCACAGTAGAGAAGAGAAAGAAGAATAGAGAGAGAGAGAGTCTTCAAATGTTTTGTGAAAATTAATTTGAAATTTGAAATGAATAAGAAAGAGAAAGAAACAGACGAGTTTGCCTCACTTTTCTACGTTGGCAGCGATGTCATTAGTACTGATTTAGTGATCAAGTTTTAGAGGTCGGAAGCATTTTTGGAAAAAAAATATATGTTATTTTTCAATTGTTATAGGATTTAAGCACATAATCTCCAATATTGATCAAACTGAAAAGTGAGCTTTGAAACTGTAAAATGTTATAGTTTAAATGCAAAAATCTATTAAGTATTTATCCTTATTAATTAAACTGAAAAACATGTTATGAAATTATAAAATTTTACAGTTTTAAAGAATGTTATGAAACTGTAAAATTTTGCAATTTTAAAACATAATTCATTCTAGCAATTAAAAAAATTGAAACTGCAAAATTTTACAAATTTCTTCGCCTGTAACTAAAACTTGAAAACAACTTGTTCAGAATTTAAAAATTTTCTCAATTAAAACAAAAAAAAAAAGAAGAAGTGTATAGCAAAGAAAATGAAGAAAAATTAAAAGATCGAAAGAGAGAGGCAAATATAAAGAGAGGATTGTATTCCAATAACTTTTTTTTGTTTAGATCTAGCCGGATATGATGTAGATCTACTCAGATCTGATGTAGATCTACATCAAATCTAAGTAGATCTACTTTTCTTCTTCGTCAGAAACATAGTCTTGTCGAGACAAATCTAAAAAAGTATATTTTTTAAAAATAATAATAATAAAGACGAAAATAAGCCGAAAAAGATTGTTTATTTTTGTCTTTTCTAGATTTTTTTTTGAATTTTTTTAAAAAATTATAATTTTTCGGTTCTTCTTATCGACCTAAATTTAGAAACTTAGAACTTTTTTAAAAAAAGTTCACTAAAAACAAAATAAGTCAAAAAAAAAAATCAAAAAATGTCATTTCCAAAACATCCTTAGTCCTAAAAATTTTTTATAGACCATTTAGTTCATTCATTTTGGTATAATAGATTTGACATATTTATTGATATAGTTACACCCTTGTTTTTAGTGTGGGTTTCTTTTGTTTCTCTTGTGCTGAAAAGATAAGATTCACAATGCATTTCTTTGGGAGATTTGATTGACCAAATCTCGAATTGTGTGGAGCGGTTCCCTTCCGAATTAGAAATTTAACCCCAACACAAGAAACCCACAAAAAGTAGATGACCAGTATTGTAACAAAGCCCGCGTTGCATACATGCATAAATCGGAGATCACAAAACCCACATTCAACAATTCCCGCATATCATATTAAGCTAATTTTTACCCAAAACCACATTCAACATTTGTTATCCACATTCAGGTTCCCCAAACCCACCAACAACCCATAGCCTAATTACCCACACCAACATAAACGAATCAAAATCACATTTTTCCAAATACCCACATTCGCTCGACATTAACAACATTCAAAAAAACATACCAACATAACTCGACATTAACAACATTCAAAAAAACATACCAACATAACAGGTCAATATAGAACTATGTAACTTATTACAAATTAAAAAATCAACCCCAACACAACAAATCCACAAAAAATAGATGAAAAATATTATAACAAAAAACACATTGCATACAAATATAAATCGGAAATTCACAAAACCCACATTCATTGTCGATTCATACACCTTCAGATTGGGGGTTCCAACCCGAAAGGATTTAGGTTGTTGAAGTTGGTGTATTTCGTGTTGTACAAATTGTGTAGTTAACTAAAATATATAGATTCATGATTAATCAAATTAAATTACAGAATAAGAAAACATGCTAGAATTTGCAATGATATTGCACAGAAATACACAATATAATAAAATGGTAAAGAAAACAAACCGAAACCTGTGTGATACCACAGTCTCCTTAAAATAGATTAATCGGCTCAATGTGGGTGCTGGAGGTACGTCGGCTTCTATCTCTCAAGATATGACGCTTTAGACCGGCTAATACAGAAGCACCTTTTGTGAGCTTTGTCGAATCGACAATGGCAGCACTCTCTCACACAGGAAGAAAATTATAGGAGCAAGCAAATTGATTGTATAATTGTACAAGGCAAAAATTTTGTAACAAACCAAGGAAGTTGAGTCTCCTTTTATACACAATGGGAGAGAGAGAGGAGGAGCTTCCAGCCATCAAGACTAGCACCAAATGCAATCAATTACGCCTACAAAATTGCTGGAGTAATGCACCAAAACTGATAAGTCAATTAGTATATGAGTTATATACTCTATATACACATGTGTGTATATCTGTAGCAAACCTGACCAAAAAAGATTAGGTTGGTGGACCACTAATCCAGCCCAGTCCAAACCTAACCCATTCCTGCAAGTCTCAAGCCTAAGCCCAAGATCTACAATCCACGACCCATGGACCCAGCTCGGTCTAGGCGTGTGGGCGGCGCATGTACGTGTGACAAGTTTTTCATAACCAACTTGGACCATAGTTTTGGCCCAAACCCATCCTTGAAGCATCTATAACTCTATCCTTTTGGAAGTTTTGGATGCCCCAAAGGACTCATGCCCTTATCAAAATATTGAGGTTTAAATATCCATCAAAGCATTCATTTACTATCAATGTGGGATTGGTAGCTATACATAATTTCCAATACCTCATTTATGAGGCCAACTTTATGAGACAATTTCTTATTAAATTCTTAATGGTTTTTTGTCATTTTTTTTTGTGGTGTAAAGATCTTATTACAAAGAATCTAAACTCATTTAATTCTAAATCAACCACTGGTTTGGACCTACTTTAATTTCACATTAAAGTCACCATAAAATCATTTTTTCCAACAATTCCCTACATGAATAAAAATTGACCGAATAAAAAAAATGGACAACGTTTACAATAAAGACTTGGAGAGAGAGCACACAAACTAATCTTGCATCAGAAAAGGTAGTTGTTAGCCTTGAACCTTTCGTAGTGAAAGCCTATCGGATTTACGGGCTGACCAGTGAATGTGATGTCTTGAACTGTTCTGTCGTTCATGTAAACTGAGATAATAGATCTCACACAGGAGTTAGTCCAACCATTGTTCTTGTTCTCATTGGTGTGTCTAGTATGGCCCTGGAACACTAGCCTGGTTTAGTGAGTGTTTTTAAAGAATTTGGTCTTACTAATTCTTAAAGAAGCGGGCCCCATTTTGCACTCATGTAGGTGACCTATAAAAGGTATCTTATTATAGTTGATTATTAATATTACTTAGGTCATTAAAAGCATTAGTTTAACCTTTCACCTCCATAGGGTATCACTGTACAAAAAAATGGGTAAGAGAATTTACCTCTTCAGTGACTCCCCCATTACATGAAATTAGGTTGTCCCTTTGAACCTAAATATTAGAATCTCCAGTCAACTAGGTTAGGTTTTCCGTTCTGGTAACATTACTAAAAGCCTTAACCCAATTCATCTTGACGACGTTTCTACTAACTCTCGAGTTAACCCTTTGGTTAGCGGATTCGTAATGTTATCATTAGACTTTACATAGTCTAAAGAGACAACTCCATTAGAGGGTAGTTGTCGTATGAAATTATGTCTATGAAGGATATGTATAGACTTTCTATTATACATATTACTCTGTGCCTGTCCAATTGCCGATTAATTATCACAATGAATACAGATAGCAGGCATAGGTTTTGGCCAACGTAGAATATCCTCAACGAACTAGCGAAGCCATTCAACTTCTTCAGTTGCTTTATCCAAAGCAACAAACTCAGATTCCATCGTTGATCTTGATATACATGTTTACTTATAAGATTTCGAAGACACAGCTACCTGTAGACCCGACTTTCTCCGCGCGCCCCCTTTTTAGAGAGGGCGCGAATTGGTCTTACTACAGTTCGGACTCCTGTCACGGTTTTGAATCTAATCTCGCAAAGTGCAATGTGAGACTGATAAACACCAAAGAGTTCAATCCGGCAAATCATTTTGAAAAATCGATTTTGAATCAAATAATACCAAAACTGGACTATTTTTCCAGATTATAAAGTTGCCACCTAAATATTTTATTTTTGAAAAATTTAGGAAACCCTGACTCGTGCCAAAGGCCACGTGTCCGTCATCACCAAAGTTGCCTCGGCTCGGGAACTTGGGTACGAGAGGGAAAAGTCATGCAATGAGCACCCCCGCTCGCCCGATCAAAGGATCGGCCTCTACTGCCATGATATGTTGTTTTATAAACACATGTGTTCTTATTCCGATTATTAAGCTAACTTACTATGTGATGAGCACATTATACAAGTATAGATTCAATCACGAGGATTGAAACAAAACAACTCATGTTTTTTTTTTAAAATGGTTTGAAAGTGCTACTTGCAAGTAAGCTAAAGCGCGGATTTGCCACCCTCAAGTGAGCTTGAAAACATGATTTTGCCACTTCGCAAAGTGGGGTTAAAACTTGCATTTGATGAATTGTCCCAATTCAGGCAATCAAACCTCCACCCACAAGTATTCAAGCAGTTTAAACACTTAAGCAAATAGTCTCATGGCAAGCATGCTATCATGGCAACACTCACACTCATGCAAATATGCTAAAGCGTAAACACTTACAGTGTACTCCGAGCCAAAACAAAAGCAAATCATGCATGATCCTAACTATACAAAATGCCTAATGCAACACATGCAATAATGCAACTGAATATGCTCGGCTATCTAAGAAGGCATATGAATGCAACAATTTGATACACGTATTCAAGAAAGTGTATTGAAATACAATGCAATTTGAATGATACGCCAAGCCCGGTGCATGCAAGACAAATGAATGATGCACTCATGCAAGCATAATGTATGCTAATT